CATATTATATTAGCTGTCACTTGAGTTTTTTTTATATTATATATAATAATTTTAGATAAAACTTATATCATCGTATAGTCATGATTCTTATATAAAAAGTTATTTAGAACTATTTTTCGATCTAAATACTTCTTGAGAAACTTTACTTAGAAGTGAATATTTTCTACAAATTTCTATACTATAAAATATTTATACTAAAATAATATAATATAAGAAATAATATTAAAATACTAATAAATATAACTAATAAAAATATAATGTAAATTATGCTAAAATCTATTTAATAACAATATAACTATCATAATAATAATAATAATAATAATATAAACTAGAGAATTACTATTCGTACACAGGGTGTTTGTATACAAGGTAATACAAAAGTATCAAAAAGCCAATCAAAATTTAAGATCAGGTGTAATATGCAAATCTTTCTTTATATAATGAAAACAAAGAATTTTTTGAAAAAAATGCTACTATCTCAAAATTTCGACTATGAAACCACTTTTAGGGTTCTAATTAAAAAAATTCCTTGCTAAATTTTACATATACTAATGCTTTTGCTAAAATCTCAAGCTTCGCTCTAACTCTAAAGTATATAAAAAGTGTTTTTTTTATAAAAATTTAAACCTATGTTTCAAACACCCCATGTACAGTTAGTTTTTTTCTATAAACTAAACTAAAATTTATTTTATAACAATATAAAATTTAAAAAATTTCAAATCAAAAATTTTATAATAAAAATTTTTAAAACAAAAACTTTAAAATCTTATTATTTTAAAGATTTTTAATAAATTTAAAAAAATTTTTTAATAAAATTAATAAAACAAATATTTTTTTTTTTTTTTTTTTTTTTTTTAAACCTAGGCAATCTTGCCCTTCATTTTATTAAGAGAATTACATCACATGTAATAAAGCAAATACAAATAAAACAAATATTTAAATTTATTTTTTAATTAATAAATATATTATTAAAATCAATATTTAAAATTTAAAAAAAACTATCTATATGTAGAATATTTGAAATATGAGTTTAATTTTTTATAAAAAAAATAATTTTTTATAAAAAAAAATTTTTTTTATCTACTTTAGAGTTAAAGAGAAGCTTGAAATTTTAGTAAAAATTTTAATATATATAAAATTTAGTAAAGAATTTTTTTAATTAGAGTTCTAAAAGTAGTTTCATAGTTAAAATTTAAAGATAGTAGTATTTTTTTAAAAAATTCTTTATTTTCATTGTATAAAATAAGATTTGTATATTATATTTGATCTTAAATTTTAATTGGTTTTTGTATTACCTTGTATACAAATACTCTGTATACAAATAGTAATTCTTTTAAAATTTTTATTTAATTATAAAAAATATTAAAAAAGTTAATAAATAAATTTGTCTACTTTACAAACTAAAAAATAATAATAATATTTAGTAACTTGGAATTATCATTTTAACAATATAGTATATAAATTTTGAATAAAATTTTTGAAAAAATAATTCATAAAATTTGAATTTTATATATTGAAATATAAACTTAAAAAATATTTATTTAAAAATTTTTGTTTTTTAACTAACTTATTTATGTTTTGAAAATTATTTAATTTATAAGTATATTTGTATACAAATATTAATTTTTAATCAAAATTAAAACAATTTTTATAAAAATAAAATCCGATTAAGATTAGAGTTAACAAGATATATAGTACAATACTTAAAGCAAAATAAAAGCTACTACGTAATAATATTAAAATAAAATAATATTATATACTAGTATTTAATACTATATATTATAATATAAAAAGTATCAATAAAAAAAAAACCAAGCAAATAGTTTTATAATAATTTTTTTCGAAACTTTAAACTCAAATAACTTGACAACTTATTCAAATTTAATGATTTAAGTCTTTTTAATTCTACAAACTTGTAAAAAAGAAATTTAAATCATTAAATTTGAATAAGTTGTCAAATTATTTTAGTTTAAAGTTTCGAAAAAATTTTACTATAAAACCATTTGCTTGGTTTCTATTAACACCCCCATATAAAAATAAAAAATTCCAATAATTATATAAAACTAACCAAAAAATTTGATACGTATAAACTATATCTTGTAATAACTCCCTAATTCAAACGTACTTGTATTAAACACCACGGTGTGATTTATATTATTAAATATACGTATCGGTATACTTATGATTAAAATTGTATATATATTTTAATGAATAGTGCCGGTATAGTGATAGCTAATACAAGAGTATGAAAAGAGATTTTAAAGAAAATAACATTTGAAATGTGCAGGACTAAAACAAGAAACAGATATATCAGTAGATCTATAATTAAATAGGGTAGAAGAAACGCTCGCAATTTCAATAATTATATTGATAGACAGAGATGAGATTCTTTTTCAAAACGAACTTTGTAATTTAATATAAATATAGTATAATACTAATAAATTAGTTGATTGTTTTTAGTAAGAATTGTTCATGAATCACTATGAATCACTCGGGTATTTGATAGTAGGTAAATGTGATGTATAGTGTAAAAAAAAAAAAAAAAAAAAAAAAAAAAAAAAAAACCAGCCGACAAAAGAAATCCAATCATAAAGCGTTCCGTTATCAGTACAACCACAAATAAGGAATTAAATATGCGTTTCAGAATGAGTTATCAGCAGCCAATCAACAATGTACACTTATAAAGAAATATAAATTAACCGGAAATAAATATACGGAACACTCCGAAAAATATAAAATTATGGGCAAGCACCTTGTTTCTCAAAACAAATACCCACATGATAACTTTTGTACATGAAAAAACGGGAAATCGCATGCAACAGATTATAAAATCAATAATAAGGTAATTTCATAATGATTTGCTTTTTTACTCCCTTGTTGTTCTGTGTTGCTTTTCAAGTGAACCATGCTTTTTTGTTTCGAAGAGATGAACTTATCAATATCAAGCCAGTCTTTTCTCAAATCTGCTTAACTAACTACTGAGTGCTTGAATATTCTTTAGCTAAGTGCAAACGACCAGATTAAAAACAAATCTACCATTAATAAGAAAGGTCGTTAGAGTAAGTTAATAGAAAGTGCAGTAAATAGAATCATTTCCGCAGTAATCATATTGAACAAAAATTTGAATCATAGTTTTGACGGAAGATTTCCTACTACTGCGCAAAAGGAATAAAAAGGCTTTTGTTTGTCTTTTTATTCTTTTGCGGCTGTCTATTCCCTATCTTCGACCGAAGTTCAGAAAGCCCACTATTTTACAATAATTTTCAGCCCAAAAATCCTTGCCCGCGTATTAAAAAATATATAATATAGTCCAGCCCCGCATCAATATATAAATTATTTATTGAATGAGACGATAAGCAAGTTTTATGACCATACTTGATCAATATTAGATTGATGGACGAGTGAAACATGTATCGGCCTTTGAGAAAAAGCAAAATAGTTATATTGTACGGGTATCATTTACATATCTAGCCAACTAGAGTCTTGCGAAAAAAAAAAAAAAAAAAAAAAAATTTAATTTGTGCTATTTGTGTTTCTATATTCTATAATCTATTTATACAAATGCAAAAAAATGTGTAATATGTGGCTGCTTTTTTTTTTTTATTTATTTATTTATTTATTATTTATATATGCATTTTGATGGCGAAAAGCAGTACTATGATTACACAATATACCTCGAAGGAATCCCTAAAGTATAACTGTAGGGAGTCAATCATAGTAATATAAATAAATAAATAAATATCACACACCACATATCGGTACTCTTTTTTGCAATATAATTCAATAAAGTAAAATTAAAAAAGAAAATTTAACTAGAGAGGATGTTCGGTCGAACGGCAACATAAGTTTGTGTACATGAGAAGCAAACTCTTTTGCCTTTAAAGTTTTTTCAAGTAGTTAGTTAAGGTCTTTTATATGATGATGATAGGTCGTTTTAAAATAGAAGTTGCAGCGAAACAAACTTTACCCAACTACTAAGCAAAATTTAATATGATATCTGATATATCGAGTAAACATTTCAGGCATCAATAAAGTCGCTCTTTCATAACCATTGACAATATTGAAAATATTGAATTATTGCAATAAATTTTCAGATGTAAAAATCCACCTGCAGAAAAAAAACATCTTCCCGTATGTTATAGAGCCACAAAAGGTTTCAAAACAGATGATATCTTAACAAACGACGAACTTTAAAAGCGTGGAATACATTCTATTATCGCTCGAGTTTACTTACCTTCCGCAAATATGGAAAAGTAGACAAAAGGGAGTTAAGAGTGTGGGATCAAAATAATTCTTTAATAAAGAGTCGTGGGTATTAAAGTAATCAGATCTGCACTTTGCGTCACTGCGCCTTTTATTCTTTTTGTTATCACTTTCGTTATTGTCACAATTCTTTTTATGTGTTAAATGTAAAATATATACATATTGTATTTATTCTTGAATAGGTTACTCTATTTTATTTATACTGTAAATAATTTTTTTTTTGCTTGTGCCGTGTTTGGTTTTTGTTGAACCAATAAATGTATTTTTTAGGAATATGATCGCGAGTTCATTATTAATGCCTGGACTTTTTAAAAATCGTATAAATAGCCCTCAAGCCCCACCTGCTCAAAAATTCCGACTCACGGCCTCCTCAACTTTTGAATTTTTAAATATTTAAAAAATTAATATTTACCCAATCAAATTTTTTTTTTTTTTTTCTCTAATAACTCATAATACATTGTTGTTGCTTTTTTTTGATTCGTAAGCATCACGTGATAACCTTTTTTGAACTAAAAAAAATTTTTAGTACGAGTGTTACGTCACATACGATACGTCAAAAAAAAACAACACACCTTAAAAAAAAAAAAGCATAAATAGAGACAGTAAACTTCATCTAAAGCAACTTAAAAAGTCTTTAACGTCTCGATCTGATCGCCTCTTTTTCCTCGTTACGTTAAAGACACTTTTTTTTTTTCTTTTTCCTACTTATCTACACGACCTTTTAAAAAAAATATATAATGGCTCAACACCACCAGTACGCTCAACCAAATGCTTTTCCCAGCATTGTGAACAATGTGCCTGCTGTGGCCGTACCACCGTCTCCGTCCAATATTGGTGCAATGTCATACAACCATAGTATGATGGTTGACGAACAAATGAGCAGTCAAATGGGTAGTCAAATGGGCAGTGTAATCGATCAGAATATCCCTGCGCAATCTCAAAACGTTGCTGGTATTGTTCCTACGTTGCAGTAAGTATTATTGCCCTACCTGTTGTTTTTACTATAGGTTTTTTATTTATTATATATATATATTTATTTATTTTATAAATTTATAGAAATATTGTCGCTACTGTTAACCTTGGTTGTAAGCTTGACCTCAAGACTATCGCACTTCACGCTAGAAATGCTGAATATAATCCAAAGGTACTACCGCATTGCTATGCGTTGGTAGCATAGACAATTGTGGTATAATATTAAAAATAGATGCTAAACATTGTTATGTAATGATACAATTATTATTAGCGTTTCGCTGCTGTCATCATGAGAATACGAGAACCAAAAACAACTGCCTTAATTTTCGCTTCTGGCAAGATGGTCGTTACCGGGGCGAAATCTGAAGACGATTCTAAATTAGCAAGTCGTAAATACGCTCGTATTATTCAAAAACTTGGTTTTAATGCAAGGTTCACGGATTTCAAAATTCAGAATATTGTTGGTTCTTGCGATGTCAAGTTTCCTATTCGTCTGGAAGGTCTCGCTTACTCTCATGGACACTTTAGTAGTGTAAGTGCTGTCATGCACTACGTTTTATACCTCTTATCATTTCCTTTTATTCCTTTTGCACATCCTTCTTATTATATATTTCTTTTTTTTTTTCGTTCTTTTTTTTTTTTTTTTCGTTCATTAGTATGAACCTGAATTATTCCCTGGCTTGATTTATAGAATGGTTAAACCAAAAATTGTCTTGTTAATCTTTGTTTCGGGAAAAATCGTTCTTACTGGTGCTAAGGTAATTTCTATCACATTTAACAATCTATTGATCATATAGTGTATTAGTTTTGATTTCGATTTCTTTCTTTGATTTATCATAATCTCTTTTTTGATGTCGTCTTCATCTCGTTAATGACATTATGATGCCAATTTTGATTTTTTTTTCATTCGTTATAATTAGGTTCGTGAAGAGATCTATCAAGCGTTCGAGGCTATCTATCCAGTATTAACTGAATTTAGAAAGCCATAAGTGAATTCTTGATGATTATGCAGTTGTGGCTACGGCGATCGAAATTATTCTACCTTTGGCTTGTCCAAACGGTTAAATTATTTTATCGCTTAAGTCTTTTTTGATGTTGAGGGAAATCGAGTGCAATTGGTTTTATTATTTGCATTTTAAGGGCTTGAAAAAAAATTTTTAGCAGGAAAAAACATCTCTTTTTTTTGTCACGGATGACCTATACTTTAATGAACATTGATTGCTACTTTGTATTTACAAAAAATTTAAAAAAAAAATTTAAAAAAAAAAAAATCAAAGCCATGAATCTACTGAGATTCGTTTGAGCTTAAATTTCTTACTGCTTCATCCCTCTTTCGCAATCCTCTTTTCAATTCATTGCAAATGAATTTTGTAATATACTTTAAATCCTTTTTTTTTTCTTCGATTATTTGTACAAACTTTAAAATCATTCCAATTTTTTTTCTTTTTTTCCTTGACCTTTAAACGATCATCCACAATGAAACAATGTTGTAAAAGTTCAGGGTTTTTTTTTCTCTTTTATAGTACCTTTCAAAATTAATTTTTTCTTATTCAATTCATTTATATACATTAATTATCCTTCTACACAAAAAAAAAAAAAAAAAAAAAAAAACAAGGGAATCAGATGAACTAAAAAAAAAAAAAAAACTATCGAAAATTTAATTTTCACTCTTATTTTTTTTTTTTCTTTTTTTTTTTTTTTTTGACAGAGTATTCATCAGATTAGATTACTAATTGATCGGTTAATATTACTGGTTGATTTTTTGTGTTCGTGTTATTTTTTCGGAATTTTTGAAAAAAAAAACAAAAATAGAAAAAAAAAAATGCACAAATAAAATACCAAAAAAAAAAATTTTTTTTTTGCTTCATAATATCAGATATTTTATTTTAATGATTCTTTTATATAAATATCTCGTAAAGAAACGAGAAAAACATTAAAGCGTAATCGGTGTAAATTTAAAAAATTAATGCAAACTATCAACTCTGGATATTGAGTTCGGTACATAATACTGAAAAATAATACTCCCAGTGAAGAAGCTCCGGCTCTTCACAATACCCACGGTAGTGTTGGTAATTAGACGCGTTTGATAATTGCAATTTGGCATGTAAAATTTTCAATGTCCTCTGTAATTTTAGTATTAATGGAAATATGGGTTCTCAAAAGTAGAAACCAAGAATTTGATTTTTGTAACAGTTTATATTTTTTTTTACGAAGTCAAATTCCTTGGTTTCAAATTTTAAGGGTCCATATGTTGAAAGCCAACACTACCATTCAAATAGTGATGATAAACTGTAAATTTCGTTATCAATAAGAACATTCAATTTACTTTATATTAATTTATCGCAAACTAATGGTTTATCTCAATTCGTCGATATCGATTCACCTTCGCTTTTATTACAGCATAATTGCATTACTACCTAACAAATTGTTACAAAACATTCGTACATGGTGAACTTTGAAATTTTTTTTTTTTTTAATTATTAGTTCGTTAAAGAGAAAATAATTAGATTAAAACCATTAGGCCAGCATTAAAATGATTTGCAATAATCGGCCTTGTTAAATTCTAATACTCTAATTATAATTTAGGCCAATTTTAATTTACGTTTTATTGGCATAGCAACGATTATCCTGATTAGAAGTCAATCAATATCTAAATATTTTATTATGTAAAAGCGATATATGCCTTTAATAAACGTTATAGAGGTTATTCTCTAATTATAATGATGCCAAAATTATCAAAATTGTTCAAGTGGGTTATGAGATAAAAGCATTTAAATATTTACGATATGTTATGATTGTGAAAATAAAAATACATATATCTCGCTTGATTTACTAAACTAATTTTATGATTTTGATGACTTTGAAATTGGAATACTTTTTTTTTACAACTTTATTTTTTATTTTTTATTTTTTTTCCACTTAGGTGATCTTGCCTTTTATTTTATTAGGAAAATCATCAAAAGATAATACAGGCAATATAAAATACTACATTTCGATATAATACTTTACTACTCTCCTTGTTGCAATTTAGGACTAACTCGGCTGCCTAGATGGTGCCCAAGTTCGATCTGCTGCAGAAGCATTTTATCTTCTATTAGTAACATACTATCAAAGTAGCATAGGTCACTAATAATCAAAAAAAGACAACTTCTAGCCTACATCAAGATCTTAGGTCCCTCCTAATCTAATCTAAGACTAAACTAAAAGTTGTTAATACCTAGTCCCAAGATGGAAAATAATGAAAACAGCTGTAAAACATAAAAAGAATTTTTTGAAAGTTTTCAAACCTTGACCCGGCCGGGTTATGAAAACAAATTAAATTTATATGGCCTTGCTGATCATTTGATATTTCACATCCAAAAGTCCAGTGGGATTCCGAATTTAGTCAGCAACACTGGATGTCTAGTATGTTGATAGAATTAGAGTTAACATCCGGATTTATTTTTATATCTGGCAATTACATAATATCACATAAATAATCATAAATGATTGGATTAAATTTTATGAATTCTTATCATTTAATTCTTAATCATCTTCAAATCGAAAAAATCCGCCCATACAATCCGAATATAATCTTAAATCTGGATATATTAGAGATGTGACCCGGGTTGAACCAACTCGGGCCACATCTCTATAAATAATATCCGTGAATTTACAAACTCGAAAATCAGCAAAGTTAGTATATAGAACTTTATTTAAAAAAATTCAATAAATTTAGAGACGATATATTTGATATACAGTATTTGACTTTTTAAAAAAAAAATCCATAAAAATATAAAATAAAATGAGATAAACTTTTTAAGTTTAAAAATATAAATCAATTGATAGCACCAATTGAAAGTTTAAGATTAATGTATTTGTCGGGAAAATGCATTTGTTAAAAATTTGCAGGCGAATTTGCGATGTAAGGGATAATTATACTAGATGTACTATTTATTTATTAATAACAGATAATGACAAAACTTAAAACGTTTAGTCGGCATCAGTTAATTCGAATCAATTGAAATTCCGAATTTACCTACAACATAAATATTCAATCTCAGCTTATGAATCCAAATAAGTCACATTTATTTTGTTATTATAGCTTACCTTGATAAATTTACTTGTATAAATTTCATTAGCATATGTTTGTAACTGTGTATTTTTAATATTTTTTAATATTTCTTCTGATTTGGTTAATTCTAATAAAATATTTTCATCATTTTGCCATTCTGTAAAAATTTCGCTGATTTTTATTGCTGATGGACGGTTTACTGGTTCTCTTTCCCAACATTTCTTCATTAGACTTATATAACATTTTGGTGTATTTTCAATAATTGTTGGTCTTAAGTCATTGCGACATATTTCAAATTGAAGTTGTGTTCCAAAATTTTGATTATAAGTTACTGATTTTCCATATAAAACTTCCCACATAATTATTCCAAATGAATAAATATCTGATGCTGTTGTATACTGTCCTCCGTCCAAAATTTCTGGTGCTATATATGGTAATACTCCATAAACTCCTCGTTTTTCTGCTTTTATTTCTATATTTGTTGATATTGAAAGTCCCAAGTCTGCAATATAAGCATTATGTAAATTATTTTGTAAAATATTCCCACTATGTAAATCTCGATGAATAAATTCTTGTGAATGAATCATTCGAAGATCAGATGCAATACAATCTAATAATGTTATTTTATCCTTCCATTTCATTTGTGCTACTGCCTGAAGATTTTGACGCAATGATCCCATTCTTGCATACTCTAATACAAGGATGTAATCTTCAGAGGAAACATCTTTTGATACTCCATGACATTTTAAGAATGTGGGATATTTAGAACAAATATCACAATACGCCTTTAACTTAATATTAAAATAAATACTTAATATTTAAATATATAAATTATTAACAGACGTATGGATTAAAATAAAAATCACCTCTTTTGTGAACTCTTCGTTTTGAGATTTTGATCCGTGAAGTATTTTAAGCGCAACTTCTCTCCATGTATTTCGTTTTTTATCTTCCCAACTAGCATAAAATACTGTTGCAAATCCACCTTGTCCTATTCTTCTAATACTCTTAAATTCTTTGTATGAAATCCATGACAATGGATATTTTTCTTCAATTAATAATTTTTTGATTTCATCGTCAATATTAAAATTTTCGTTTTTTCTCTCATCTAGAATAAATAATAAATATTAATAATATTTAAACTACCTCAAAAGTAAATAAACAATAATTACTATTTTTAAATTACCCAACATCTTATTTTTTTCCCTAATTATTATTTGAAAAAATATATTATGAAAGATTACAATTACAATATTAAAGATGAATTAAAATAAATAATTATTTACATTTGATACCAATAATTAGCCATCTGTAAATCTCTTAGGGTTCCAATCCCATTTCGATAACAATAACCAACTTTAGACATTCCATTAGAATGACCCATCTCTGCTGACTTCTGATAATGAATAAATGCCTTATGTTCATCTTTTTCAACTCCCATTCCATTAAAATAACAATGACTAAGTTGATTAATTGCTTGAGCATCTCCCATATCAGCAGATTTTTGATAATGAACGAATGCCTTATGTTCATTCTTTTCAACCCCTATTCCATTGTGATAACAATGTCCAAGACTATATATTGCAGCAGCATTTCCCATCTCAGCAGATTTTTGATAATGAACGAATGCCTTATGTTCATCCTTTTCAACCCCTATTCCATTTTCATAACAATATCCAAGTTGATTTATTGCAGCAGCATTTCCCATCTCAGCAGATTTTTGATAATGAACGAATGCCTTATGTTCATCCTTTTCAACCCCTA